TCTTAGTTAATAAATACTTACCAGTAGAGAAGTTTACTATAGGACTGGTTACAAATGTTGTCGTTAGTGTGAGATCTAAGGTATAAATTGACTTGGGGTAAGTGACTGGTCTTCTGGGACTGGGAGCAACCTGAATCTTTTGTGATCTTTTGTGTATCGCAACCATTTATCGCTAAATCCAGCTTGCCTGGGTGGCAAGATAGACTGGAATGCCCAAGGGGACTGTCTGTGACTCCATGGCAAGATTGTTATAGTGCTTTAGGAGTTCACTCTTTTTATTGGGTTGTGGAAATCTAATTATAGACCAGTTTGGAGTCTCTGCCCTGCTTCTTGACAGTCTGCCCTGAGGTTGGCACGCTCAGTCATGAGCCATTCATGTCAATGTCATTTGGGGGTTTTGATGTATCTGGGTATATACACACTCCTGGCTTCTCCAGCCTGCTGGCCCACATATATGGGGCTTAAGCCTAAGTAGATTTTATTACTTAACAGGCTGCACATCTCTACTCTGGCACTGGAAAACTGATGCTGAGTAAGCACAAAGAAAAACACCCTCTCTGAGAGAAATGGCTTTTCCAGAAGGGAGGATCCATCTGTGGGACACAGAAGAGATTTTATTAAGCCCAACTTTGTTCTTTAACTTTATAAACAAAGAATTAAGTGAATCTTGCAGTTCGTTCACTAAGAAAAAAGCAGAACAAAAACAACCAGATTATCTACCTCAGTATTATGATGAAGCTGAAAGGGCTGAAAGCGAAGTTCAAGGAAAAAAGTATTATGGCTTGGGATTCCAATATCTGAATTTCATTCTTTGCAAACCCAAATCTCATTCCTACATAGAGACAACACAGGCTTTGATCAGTGTGAATGATCAATAAATTCCATCACTTTGTTTTAGTTCCTCGGGTTGACAATATACATTAAAGGGGGTTGATATAAGTTACACCATTTAAATCCAATGACAATCATAGTTCTGTTCACTTAGGGCCCGCGCGAAGGCTCACCGAAGTCAACGGGACTCTTAATTGATTTCAGTAAATTTAGATCAGCCCCTTAGGGTCCAATTGCTCAATGGAACTATTCTCATGAGTTACTATTCACCATTATGAGTACAGGGTCTACAATCAGATCATTAGAATACATACAGTGGCTGTACCCCAAGTTGACACAGAGCTGTCTTCACAACAGGGTTGACTGATATAGATTTAAAATAAAAAATAAATCTGATTTTATGTAAATCAGATTTTTGTATTTAAATATACTTCTCCTTTTAAAAGCAAATCTGTTGAAAATTAAATTTGAAATTATGATAATCTCTGTTAAATTGTAAACTTATAATAACCTATTAAAAACATCTAAGTAAATAAATAAAAATATGCTGCATTAATGAACCTTCCCCAAATTTTAATAAGTTAATGGGTGCTGCTTTTTGCTTATTTAGAGAATTAGGGGAAAACATCTTTAACTGTTGAGGTCCACTCAAACTTTATAAATATATTACAATGTCACATAATGCTTCAATAAGTATATTCGTTTCAGTCTTTACCCTGGAGAGAATGCTGGTATTTTAATTTTCCCAAATGTAAGTACTTTCATTTTCTGTGGTGCAGAAGAGCTTTTGCCTTAATTACTTTTGGTTCAGTTTAACTATCAGGTGCAGAGAGAGATTATTTTCTTCATTTGGACTAGATCACTCAAAGGAACGAAACTGATTGACAGTAAAAAAAGCAGGAAAGCTTGTTTTCCTCTTGGAATCTCTGAATAAAAACCAGATGGGAGGGGATGAACTCTAGTAATTCTAAAAACCTGAAGGATGCGGGGCCAGATTTTCAAAGACATTTAGGCACCTAAAGATGCAGATAGCTGGCTCATGGGATTTTCAAAAATACCTAAGTAGGTTAAGTACCTAACTCCCATTGATTTCAACATGAGTGAACACCAAACCAGGTTAAGCGCCTATCTACATCTTTAAGTACCTAAATACATTTGAAAATCTAGTTCATGCTAATCGGAAACAATCCATCAATTCGTGAACTACAGTTAATCCTTCCTGTGTTTAATAAATCAGTTCACAGAATCACAGAATACCAGGGTTGGAAGGGACCTCAGGAGGTCATCTAGTCCAACCCCCTGCACAAAGCAGGACCAATCCCCAACTAAATTATTCCAGCCAGGGCTTTGTCAAGCCTGACCTTAAAAACCTCAAAGGAAGAATATTCCACCACCTCCCTAGGTAACGCATTCCAGTGCTTCACCACCCTCCTAGTGAAAAAGTTTTTCCTAATATCCAACCTAAACCTCCCCCACTGCAACTTGAGACCATTACTCTTCGTTCTGTCATCTGCTACCACTGAGAACAGTCTAGATCCATCCTCTTTGGAACCCCCTTTCAGGTAGTTGAAAGCAGTTATCAAATCCCCCCTCATTCTTCTCTTCCACAGACTAAACAATCCCAGTTTCCTCAGCCTCTCCTCTAGTCCCCTAATCATTTTTGTTGCCCTCCGCTGGACGCTCTCCAATTTTTCTACATCCTAATTGTAGTGTGGGGCCCAAAACTGGACAGAGTACTCCAGATAAGGCCTCACCAATGTCGAACAGAAGGGAACGATCACGTCCCTCAATCTGCTGGCAATGCCCCTACTTATACATCCCAAAATGCCGTTAGCCTTCTTGGCAACAAGGGCACACTGTTGACTCATATCCTGCTTCTCGTCCACTGTAACCCCTAGGTCCTTTTCTGCAGAACTGCTGCCGAGTCATTCGGTCCCTAGTCTGTAGCGGTGCATGGGATTCTTCCGTCCTATGGTCAGGACTCTGCACTTGTCCTTGTTGAACCTCATCAGATTTCTTTTGGCCCAATCCTCTAATTTGTCTAGGTCCCTCTGTATCCTATCCCTACCCTCCAGAGTATCTACCTCTCCTTCCAGTTTAGTGTCATCTGCAAACTTTCCGAGGGTGCAGTCCACGCCATCCTCCAGATGATTAATGAAGATACTGAACATAACCGGCCCCATGACCAACACTTGGGGCACTCTGCTTGATACTGGCTGCCAACTAGACATGGAGCCATTGATCACTGCCCGTTGAGCCCGACGATCCAGTTAGTTTTAAACGCGAAACATATTTTGATTAATTTACCTTTTTCTTCTTAAGTACCCAGCACATTTAAAGTAGTTTTAACTAATAATAATAATTTTAAAAAGTTGTTCTTGTGCATTTTTAATTGAATTCCAATTTCCATCCAAATGCAGCTTGACACAAATCTGGAGTAAAAAAATTAAGAAATGCATCATCCACCATTTTCTAATAAAAATTGGAATAAATGTGTATTAAGCTATAACATTACTTAAATAAATGTGTATAAATAGAGGGAATCTTCCTGGTTAGCAAAAAGTACCACCAAATTTAGTGTAAAGGCTTTAGTTAGTTGCAAATCAACATATTGTAATGGTTACCAACCAATGAGAATAAACCTTCCTTTAGGCATATAAAAACAACAGATTCAAAACAAGATTAAAATCAGTTATTTAAATCAAGATTTCCTGCTTGCTGATTTAAATTATTTTTTTTAAATCAGTGTTTTAAATCACTTTGATTTAAAAATCAATCCACCCTGCTTCACAATATAGTATAGTATAGTACAGGCTCAGAAACATTGCCTCACATACTATTATGTTCCTTGTAGACAATATCTTGTGAGCTGGAAAAATTTCAAAGTAATAGATCCAGGGATAAAAACAGGGTCCGCTTCTCATTCCTCAGCATCACATCACTCTTACTACAGTAACAGAACAACTCCAAGCAAAGTTCAGCCCTCTGAAGCAAGCACTATATCAACCATATCCTACTAAGACAATAGAAACCAGTCATGGAACATTCCCTTGCATTATTCACCATGACAGCATTCATCATCACCTGTTTTGGCTTTTGATGCCACAGCCATGGAAGAGGGTGGGAAAGTGGAATTTCAGACCATTAACTGGAAGCTTTTTGCCTGCACAGTGCCCCAGTTCAGGAACACAAGGTAAGTTTACTTAGGAGCAGCTCTTTCTCCTCCTTGTTGGAGATGCAGCATATATTCTTATTAGTGCTGGCCTCAGACAAATGGCTGAGGAGACGGCCATGTTCTCACCCTGCTTGGCCATATGCCTTTTAGAGTGTGCATATCTGCTGTATTGCCAGTCTCAAGCATTCCAACCTCATGAGGCAGACTTCAAAAAATCATGGAGGTTGGCTTAAGCAGCATGGAAAGAAATAGAAAGAACGATCTTTTCATTTGCCCTCTGGCTTTTAAGACTTTATGATGCACTTAGGTCATGTTTTCAAGCTTTTCTCCAAACCATGAAGGTTAGAACTGTACTTTGTTTTAACTGAAAGCTGAGATTTTCATGAAGTCTCCCAATTCCAGCATCTGGGGCTTTAAGAAAACATACGAAATGTCACAAGACTTGCAATAAAACAGAGCAGGGAATACTGCAACAGACTCCATGACCATGCTCATTACCTCCTGTGCCGGGGTTAAGGGAGCAGAATTCCCTGGGCTTCCCTTGTGAAGTGCGGTTGAGAGCAACCATTCATTTCTGATCAAAGAATCCATAGTAAACTTCCTGGAGATTCCTCTCTCCTACATGGGTTATTTCCACACAGGAGAACACAGGGCCCAGCATGAGGACAATGTAAATATAATCATGCTTTAAGCATAAATACATCCATGAGCAGCCTAACATCTATTGGGAAACCAGGGATGTTGTTACAGCAACCTTTTGGGCATTAAAACGGTTTTTCTGAAGCTCTTTTCTTTTTTGTTTAAAAAGTAGTAGCTTCAAGAGTTCGCTGCAAAGTACCAATTGCAACTTACTTTGAAATTCAAACATAAAGCATATCTTTCTTAGTGGTGACTGATGATTTTCTAAACCATTGCTATATATTGTACATACATATAACTTTAAACAGATTTGTAGCCAGTTATAAAAGCACAATACAATAATGAGAGTTCCTACCTTTTTCAGGAACCGGACTCCATAGGTAAATATATAAAGGTAAAATGTAAATCTCCACCTGCAAAAGGTAAAATAGATTGACTCTATGATATTAAGTTTGCATATTTTGCAGCACAACATCTAATCTCCCATTACAACACAAGTTTAATGCACAACAACCAATCAACATAAATTCTTTTCATTCAGAAGATTGTTTCTAGTCACTAGGGCTTTGATTCAGCAAAGTTCTTGAGGACATGCTTAAGTCTTGCTGAAATAAATGGGAATCAAGCACTTGCCTAAAGTTAAGCACGTGCCTAAGTGCTTTCCTGAATCAAAGCCCTAGTATTCTGTCTTTTTATGCAATTAAGTTCTTTAGGATATATTTGCTTTCTTTGGCCCAAGCTGCAGGGAGTTTTGCCTGAGTGAGGATTGCAAGATTGGCCTACAAAGCAACTATTAAAGCACCAAATTCTGGCTGATTTCCTTATGTTCAAAGAGCTTTTATTTTCATTTTAAACTTAATACATAGGATAAAACCTTCCCTGTTGTCAGACCAGTGCAAGCAACTAGGGAAGACATAAATACCTCCCAACAGTGCTTTTAAAACTACTTGCCCTTCTCATAGCTCAGCACTAACAAAAGAGTATTTTATGTTTTCAGCAACTAAAATAGGAGGTTTGTTAGATTATAAAAATGTGCCCTGCTGTAGGGAACAGCATCACCCAAGTGAGACTGGGGCTCTGTAATGGGCTCTAACTACTAGCTCCTGGGGTAGGGAATGGCTTTTCCCCCCAAACGTCTCAGGTGAACAGTTGATAATCACACCTGCAAATCCACATACAGTTGGCTGCTCCCCAAAGGTTTTGTTATTATTACTTATATGATATAGAAGCTCCTAATTAAAGAATGTTACTAACTTTTCCAGTCCCCCATAACCTTGACACAGCAAGTCTGTCTCTCGGGGGCTTCTTAGGGAAAGGCAGGGAAAGCACAGATTGGAACCTGGGGTTGAGGGCTGCACTAGTGCAGCTGTAGTGCTTAGTGAAGACGCCACCTACGCCGATGGGAGAACTTCTCCCACTGGCATAAGTATTCCATCTCCCCGAAAGGTGGTAGCTATATGGACAGGAGAAGCCCACCCATTAACATAGTGCTGTCTACACTGGGTGTTAGGTTGGAATAACTGCGTTGCTCAGGGGTGGATTTTCCACCCCCCTGAGCGATGCAGTTACAGCGACATAAGTTGGTAGTGTAGACCAAGCCTGAGATGCAACAGAAAGCCCAACCAAAGTCCCAGCTGCACCGGGGGAGCCTGACCCACCTAACGATGTAAAGGTAAATCAGCCTGAACGAGACACCATCTGCCTAGGAGGCGGGTGCCAGACCCAACAGAGGACAGAGCCAAACAGATCCAATCCAGCCAGAGACAAAATTAGGAAGGAAGGAAGCCAGCCAGAATGGACCTGTGACTGATTATCTGCTGACCCCAGGGCCTAGGACCCCAGTGTCAGAAAATACAAGTCACTGGGAAGTGGATGGAGATCTGGGCAACACAACATAACTTCTGGAGAAAATTGCTGGATACCCAGGGGGGCAGGTGTGGCTACACACATGGGAGGTTGTAAAGGAGCGGACTCACCCCTGCGGCGCCTCCTGCTGGTCATTAGGAATTAGCTCTTTTCCAGCATGGACCACCCTCTACAGGCCGGTGATCCGCACAGCGCTGGCCCCCGTGTCCCTCATCGACCTCGGTGCCCCTTTCTCTGGGGTTCTGCCCCCTGGCAGTACCCCCACACTCTGCCTCTGGGTCTCCCCTTCCTGGGGAACCCCCAACCCACTGTCCCCACCTTGCTTCAGTCTGAGCTACTGCCAGTCATCACCAAGCCCCACTCCCTGGGGCAGACTGCAGTGTAAAGGCCACTCATCATAGGCAAGGGTGTTTGGACTGGTTGCCTTCCTCCACCTCCCAGTACCTCTATGGGCCATGGACCAGGCCTTACAGCCTGGGGAGTTGCCAGCCTGGAGCACTTCCACTCAGCCTGCTCCTTCCCCAGCACTCTACCACCCACAGTACCCTGCCAGGCAGACAGGCAGGCCCTGCTCTCTCCTAGCCTGGAGAGAGACCCTTGGGTCTCTGGGCTCACAGCCTTTTTATACAGGCCAGCTGGGGCCTGATTGGGGCATGGCCCAGCTGCAGCTGCTTCCCCAATCAGCCATCCCCAGCCACAGCCTTCTGCAGGGCTGCTTTTAACCCCTTCTATTTTAGGAGCAGGGTAGCCACCCTGCTACAGAGGTAAACACCAGTGGCTTTTCAGTTAGTGATGCTTACAGCAGGCATAGTGTCATAGGGTGACAGTGGCCCTTTAAGAGGAAAGAGGCCACTGCACCTGCGACTTGTCAGCTATCTCCTGAGCTTTAAGAGAAGGCAACTAGGCCATATAAGTGGCAGAGCACAACAACAGAGTCAGTCAGTCAGGAAAAGGGCAAAGGAGAGATGCATGGTTCAATCAGAAAAAGGGCAGGTGAGAGCTACTGGACACAAGGAAACTGCAGGAGATCCTTTAAGGAAGCTGTAGATGGTTCCTGGGGGAAGGCTGAAGAGCAGCAGAGAGTTTTGCTGGGTGACCTCCCCAAGCCAAAAAGCCAGAGTTGGAGAGGGCTGAAGGCCAATGAGCAGATGAGACAGTTGCCTGCTGGCTTCTAAGCCGGACAGCCAAAGCCAAGGGCTGGAGAGAGCTGAAAGGAGGGGAGCAGTGGAGGGGCTTGCTCACTGACACCTCCATGCCAGAGAGAGGGAGCCAGTAGGTGGCAGAGCACTGAGAGCCAGGGTGGTCCTATGGGGAAGAGTGGGATTGCACTCCAGATGGAAGGGCTAGGGTGGTTTTTCTGGTAAAGGTACAGGAGAGGATCAGATAAGAGCCCAGATAAGGTGGAAGACACGAGCGGGTGGTATGTGCTGTGTCGATGGACTATAGGATGTGGAATTTTAAGGACTATATACACTGGGTACTAGAAATGGAGTATGTTTGGGGACTTTATAGACCATTTTGAATTCTGTTTTCATAATAAACCAACACCCAGAAAGGTATTATTAGATAGGAGAGCTGTCATGGAGTTACTGGGGACTCTAAAGGAGGAAAACTGAGGAAGGTATACTGGTTGTGCCTCGGCCTGCTGCAGAAGGGCCCTTAAGGTGGGACCACCTTGTGACAAATAATTTGGGCTCAGCTTGGACTAATTTAAATCACTGGATTTTAATCATAATTTAAATTGGCAAGAAGGAAACCTTGATTTAAATCCTGTTTCGTATTTGTACTTTTTAGTTATTTTCGTAAGGAAAGGTTGATTCTCATTGGTTAGTAATCATTAAAACATGTTATTTATGACTAAATACAGCCTTTACATTAATTTTGGTGCTTCTTTTTGCTAACTGGGAAGATACAATATATCCATTCACATTTACTTAAGTAATTATATAGTTTGTTACATTTATTCAGATTTCTAATTTTCACATTTTTTATTAAGTTAGCACATGGTGAATTTACTAAATGATTACATTTTTACTTGTGTTTTGTGTCAAGTGCTATTTGGATTGGAATTTAAACTCAATAAACAATTTTTGTTAAATCTACTTTTATAGTGCTGGATACATAAAAAAACTTAAAGTTTATCAAAATGTGTTTGAATTTAAAACTGGTTTATTAAATGAAGTATTTTATGTAGGTAATGAACTGATTACTTCTGGTAAGCGTGTCTTTCAAGATTTTAGAACCTTGTAGATCTCATTCTCTCACACCTAGTTTTTATTCATAGTTTAGAAAAAGAAAACAAGTCTTTATCAGCTCCCCATTGGTTTCTTAACTTTGAATGAACTAGACATTGAATTGAAGTAGCTGAAATGAAGAAAATATTCTCTCTACCTGCAGAAGAGGCTACTTTCACCAAAAGCTGTTTTTTCAATAAACAGGCTCCAGTTGCTTCCCGCTGTTCAGGGATTTGACTTTCTTTAAAACATGGCAGCAGATATGTACTGCTAAGTATTTTTGTATTTAATTTAAATTATTAATTGCTTATAAGTAGTTTAGGCCTTGATATAGGATGTCACTTTAATATTAAAATAGAATTTTAAAAAAATATTTATGTTTAAAAAATCCTGAGTGTCATTAACAAGCGATACAAACATGTACTGGAGGAAAGAGCTAGCGGATACTGGAGCATGAAACATCTCTAGTAAAATGTACTATTTACTGTCTTCTGTCTGCTCAGTAAAATTGTTTGGTTGCTGTTAATTGCCCCAGAAGCATTTTAGTGCATTTTCGGAGAAATGATTCTAGGGAAGGCACATTGCTTTGTTTAAGGGGAGTTCAGGCTACCAGCATACAAGCAACTAAAAGGAAAGATCAGATCTAGTTTACAAAAATATAATGAAGGATAAATTGGGCAGAAAGTGTCTGTTAAAATGTCAGTGAGATTCAAAATGTGACTAGTCTAGCTGAACAGAAGCAGCCTCTTGTTCATCTGTAAGATACAGAGCTGCAGAGATGAAATTGCTTAATTGGTATTACACAAATATTGGTCCTCCCACAAGCTCGGTACTACCAGCAACATAGTGTGTATCTTTCATGTTGCCACATTCTCCAGAAACTATTGCACAAACTGAGGATTCGGATAAAGAATGTCACCTCCGGTATTGGAAAGTCTTCAAATCATGTGCGGGCAGAAAATAGCCAGGATAGCAAGATGAAGGAATGTAAATTTCCTCATGAGCCAGGTCCTGGGACAGTGAACCCTGCTCCATAACTGCCAAGTCATGCAATTCATGTGGTGGAGTTTGCAAGACTTTGCCAATGCAAAAATCAATCAATCAAGGGGAATAATTCATAGCTATCATGTTTTACTCCATGGAAAATATTACTGCTGACACCCTTCCCCTTCCTCCACTGCCCAGCCCCCTCTCACTCTCATACCAAATCTGAGCAGTTACAATAACTTCCTTTCAGTGATAGCTGTCTGCTGTAACAACCCCTCCCAAAATGATCTTTGTTGCATTTTTTCTCAAGGCAAAGTTCATAAAAT